AAGAATTCGTTATTTTCCTAGATTGAACGAAGAAAGAGTTAGAAGCTTTAGGGTTATGTTGATGAGTTCATTGCCTTTTAGAACATGCAATTAGTATCATCATTACTGTTGTCGTGCACATTACTGACATATACACAGGTTTTGATTAATTGAGGATACTGATTAGTTTGAGCTAAAGTGGCCTTAATCCTTAGATGTAGAAAGAGACAAATGAGAAGCTGCATCAGCATTCACTCTTTTTCAATTCTCTGGTGAATTTATTCGTTGAAATTGCTGAAATATGATGTATCAATTCAGGTCTTATCGAAAATCGACTTAGAGCCGATACCAATAATAATCAACAAGGTATCTTCATGCATCGTTTGATTAATGTTGATAAATTTATCAAGGAATATTAGGTGTATCTTTTCGTGTCGAATTTTGGAAGTGATTAGCTGCTTGACAATGAGTAGTGTTTCTTCAATTCGATCCACAAATTCATTCTTGGATTGAATCGAGCAATAGTGTTGTCCAATGATAAGTATTAATAAGGCTGATTACATCATCAGTTTATCGTAAAAACACTTTTATTCAGCATGCATTAAACGTTACCCTCAACTGGTTGTGCAATGTGGTGAACTATCAAGATGTTCATAAACGGATCATTGTACTCGCATTCGATAATGTCACTTATGTGACACTCAAGCGTTCTTTCCCTAGTCTGCATGTTCTCCATTGGGATCTACCTGTGTTGGTGAGTAATTTCTCGTCGGTTCTCAGCTCCAGCTTTTATAGCTTCTCCTTCTATCAGTGGGGTCATTCAAATCAGTCGAACGCTATGAGTATGAAGTTAGTTGGTGGCGAATAACATTAATAAATCAACGTGAACGAAAACATGATTGAGCTCTTTCACAAACAGTTTATCTCCGGGCGAATTTTAGTTCTGGTTTTCAGAGCGATTGCGGAACTTATGCTATGCTCAATATGTTTCATTGTCCTTCGTCAATGGAAATTTTGATGTAATTGACTTTTGTTAACTGGATCTAAATTGGATAGTGCAATTGGAACAGCGAACGAAATCGGCGCTGTATGAAACTGCTTGCTGTAGAAAATTGTTTGAAATGGTCTTCCATTACTTCGATTACACAAAACGCAGTATTGTTATGGTTCTATGCAGGCGATAATGGGTATTTGTGGTGATGTTAATCAAAATAAAGTTGAAAAATAATTCTTGATATGAATTAAGTATGACCGATTCTCTGCTGGCGATTATCGCTATCAGTTGATACAAGTGTTCCGAGCAAACTTATGTGCTTATCTGGCTGCGAAACGTCGTGATTTTTGGATTGCTCAACCGGACACATACTGGCGAGAGAATCTATTCGAAGTTATTGGTTCGTTTTGAAAGTCCTTCTCTAATCCCATCACCGTCAACCACAAGGAACTGTCAGCAAAGCATTCATTTAAGTGTTCAACAAGTCTGAAACTTTGCGCAAAGAACGATATTTGTTCAGATTTTTGAATCCATTCGATTTTCAGATCCATCGAAATTTCTGAAGAACGATGAGAATTTGTTATTCGATCAAGAAGGTACAAATGGGCTTTTGGCAGATATGATTGCTGGTGGTTGCTTTTTCGTTCGAGGAAATGAAAAGTTCGGCATTTCATTAGTTGACTGACAACTTACTTCATTTCTGACAACTCACTTCACCTACATCAAGACCATTTCATAATCTATGTATCAGAAAACCTCAGAAGAATGACTGATCGCTCATCTTTGAAGGCAACATGGCTAAAATTCGGCTGTCCGATTTACATCAATTACTTGATGAAATATCTTCAGTTCTGTATGATAGATTGGTCGCTACCGATGTAATCACCCATTGTTGGGTGAAAATAGCACGCAATAGGACAGTTTTGATGAGGCAGGAGAAAAACTAACAAAATTGTCGCGGTGGTTTTCCTCGAATCATCGAAGCGACTATCAAATATTGTTGCATAAAAGAGGAGAGGACGATTCCACTGCGATCTTAGTCTAATTGGGAGATTGGTGGAAGAATTTTGAGGACACTGCTGTATAAAAGAGAATTAATGATGTAATACAGTTGGTTTCAGATCTGAAAGATTCTTCAAAGAAACTTCGCGAATTCTGTTGGATCAATGCGCGACCGATAATAATATTATGTGCTCGTTATGCCAGCAGCAATACGAAGGCAATAAGTGCTCTTTTATACCGTTCAGGTGAATGCAACAATTTTTACATTCAATTCTCTTATTCTCATCAACTGATAATACTGAACATAACACTTTGACGCAGCTCACTGCTGGCTGATATTCTGTCGAGGCTATTGTTGTGACAAAACGTGCAAGTTACAATTGGTGGACGTGGTTCTGCGTCAATGACTGATATTTAACTGCAAAAACTTTTGGCTGAGAAAAATGAAAAGTTTCTTGTGCAGTTGATTGACTAGAAACAAGAATGCCTTGAACTTGTTAAACGACCACGAAAATAATCGAGTAACAATGAAACATTCACCTCATTATCAGTAAAAATGGTCAGCAATTAATCCGCTCAAGTGATCTGTCAAATGATCAATGATACTTCTGTTGAAAAACAAACGGAACTCCACCATAAAGTATGACAGTATCCCGCTGTCACCCTTGACCGTTCGTGAGTACCTTTACCAGAGGTATATCTCTGTTGTTTGGGGTTTTAATTGAGTTTGATGCACTGAGAACTACATATTCTTGTTTTGCAGGATAATGAGTAATTGGCGTTGGCATACGAGCGATAAGAAGTTTGTCCCAACATTTTTACAGTTCGACGGAGGATATTCATCTGAATCGAAATTTCAACAAATGCAAAGACTTGGTGCTGCGTTCGTCAATCCAGAAACCATTGGTGAGAATCGTCAAGCCAATTGCACAAGTATTTCGGAAATACCCGGAGATGCCATTCCCTTGAGGTTGATGT